ATGTTCCCATTGTAATATAGATTTGTTTTGTCATTCTGGGASTTTCACCCTCTGAAACTTGACAAAGGTTATTTTCAATACAAATTAATCTTTGGGACTATTCCACTCAATAGCGTAAACTAGATATTCCATAGAGAATACCTGTGTAATATTCTCAATTTAATATTAGGTATTCTGTTTAAATTGATAAATGAATTAAAATGCCAATTCTCATGAGATTTGATGAGATTGAACTTTGAAAAATTGTAGATATCGACAATTCCCTTCGATAGCCCACTCAATTTACATTAAAAATCATATATTAATAATTTTGAGTTGCCATTGAATTGCCAGTGAACAGCCAGTGAGATTCCAATGATTATCCATTGAATTGCCAGTGAATAGCCAGTGAGTTGCCAGTGAGTTGCCAGTGAATAGCCAGTGAATAGCCAGTGAATAKCCAGTGAATAGCCAGTGAATAGCCAATGAGTTGCCATTGAATAGCCAGTGAATAGCCAGTGAATAGCCARTGARTTGCCAGTGAATAGCCAGTGAATAGCCAGTGAATAGCCAGTGAGTTGCCAGTGAGTTGCCAGTGAGTTGCCAGTGAGTTGCCAGTGAGTTTACAATAAAAAATTTTAAATCTTCATTTCGAAGAAGTTGAATGATACTGGATCCTTAGTTAAAATATGAGTGCTAGACTACTAAAAAATAATCTTTGGAACTATCCCTTTCAATAGCGTAATCTAGTTACACTAAATAATATATCAGATTAAAATTTCAATTTAATACTAGTTATTTTATTAAAATTGATATTTGATCAAAAATGCCAATACATGGATTTTTTTTTTTCTAGATACAAGGGTCATAGAACCCAGGCCATATTGTCGAGTGTTTTTTATTTTTGAGTGTGTTAAGGGATTGGAAGTTGTTTTGTGCTATCGAATTATTTGGTGCTTTCGATTGGATTGAGTGTTTTTTGTTGMTRAGGATCATTTGGACTCCAACTTGARGTCTAGTTCGGGTCAGGGAAGCTTGACTTTTCAAAGTAAGTGCTGCAGTTTACCGACRATGCCAAGGTCTGCCAATACATGGAGATTTTACCAGTGTTTGAGACCGAGTTCGGATATCCGACTAACCGAGACCGAATAAACCGAACCGGACCCTTTTACCAATCCGAAAGAAGTTCAATTATTCGAACCGACCACCTTTTTTTTTTATCAAAACCGGATCAAATAACCGAGGGTGAGACATGTGTGGGTGAACAACACAAGACTCATTCATTCATTAATTCAGTTGTTTTATAGATAGATAGATATGATAACCAAACAAAAGAAGAAGAAGACGGCCTCCAATGGACAGCTTGGGGATCCAAATGATTATCAACCACAGACAGGCAATGTTAGTAGTGGCACACAAATATAACGTTATTTTGGAGAAAAGAATCTTGAACCATATTTGTAGGAGATATCAAACTCGTACCTGTTTGAACAGGGGGTGGCCATAACTTATGAAACATACTGTAGTGATTACGAGAATGACCAATTGATTGAATGGAAGCACAACAGTGATGCATTACAATATGTGGTAGTGTGTCACTTGCTTACACTCTGCCTCACTCGGAAGGGTCGGTCGACTCGGCACTTGACTTGATTGGAATACCATTCTTGGTTTGATGTGCCTGTAGGATCTCATCACAGTTGGTGAGCAGGCTGCCACCAGTCCATGATGCTTTGTCCTCTTGGTAACCAAACCACTTGATGAAGTACTGGATGCCACGGCCCATCTTGCGATGCTTGAGGATGACTTCGACCTCGTATTCAATCTCATTATCGATGATGTCAGGTGGTGGTCACGACAAAGTATCCCTTGTCATTATTCATTTTTACACACGACAAACACCCCCAAACATTAAATGTTGTCGACAAACAAATAATAATAATATTGTTGTATACGAATTTCTAGAATTATATTTATATAATTCGATTTATCGAGAACAAAGACAATTAATATTATATGAATAGCGTATTCTGTTTGTTTATTTCCCAAACTTTTCACCTGTATGTCTCCAGGGTTTTGCCGAAATTTCATCCAAATTTCCATGAAATATCAATGATTTTCCGTGGATTTTTGGTGATGGCAAAGACGGTTGGACTAGTTTAGGGAGACCAGGTGAGAGTTCGTAGAGTATATAAAGGGGGACTTGGGCACCATTCACTTCAGTTTCTTGATTTGGAATTCCGACTTGTGTATTGAGATCTTGAGGGTGGCTGAGGGCGGGGGCTCTAATATTAATTGTCTTTGTTCTCGATAAATCGAATTATATAAATATAATTCTAGAATTATCTTGAACTTAGACAATTAATATTATATGAATCTTTTGAATAACCTATCTACAAAATCCCTGTCTTCACTTTTGAGGCCAATAATTTCCTTGTCATAGAATAGTTCTAATGACTCGGATGTTCTCCATCGTCCTAATTTCTTAACAGTGTGTAAGGGGACGTTGCACTGGAGTAGGAGAGTGGCCATTGCTGTACGGGTAGAGTGAGACTTGAACTGGGAAGTGTCAATATTGGTCTTCGAGAGGAGATTCATGGTGATCTTGGAGAAGTCACTGTAGGTAAGTGGATGACCTTCTCCATCAATAAAAACCTGGTCTGAGTCTTACTTTTTTTTTTTTTTTTTTTTTTTTTTTTTTTTTTCCTTCAGGGAACGGAGCGGGCACAT